CTTGGGAGAGTGGAGGGACAGTGCGAGAGGGGAAGACCCTCTATGAGGTGGATTGATTCAGTGACTGGAGTAATCAGGATGGGTGTTGTCGGAGACAGTGCAATTGGCACAGGACAGAGCAGAGTTTAGGGCTGTTGTACATAGGGTTGCTATGAATCTCAAGTGACTTGACGGCACATAACAACAAGAACAAGTGTCTGCTTCAGTTGAGGTGGAGGGCTACAGGGCACTAGTATTTCGTGAGTACTGGATGAAACAACATTGCACACATGAAAATAGATCTATACTCATCACAGATCCACCCCCCACCCCCCACATCTCGCACATGGCGAGTACCCTGCAAGGCTGGGCAGCAGGAGCTGGTAGGGATCCTTGAGCCATGAGGTCCCAGAAGCCAAAACAGAATGCTTTTAATTTAAAAAAGAAACAAAACTCAAATATTTTTTAAAAATTTTATTTTATTTATTTATTGTGCGTGTACCGTCAAATCAGGTCTGACTGGTACAGGAGGGAAATTTTCCCTCCTTCTCCGGCAGAGCATCTGGTGGATTTGAACAGTGCACCTCTGGGATTGCAGTACAGCAACTCAAATCTTTATAACTGCCCGTCTGCTCTTCACTCTACTTACACACAACCCTTGTGGAAGGAAGGTGTGGTAGTGGTGACACGAGGAGGTTGCTCTGTGCAGATGAACCGCTGGGCACATGAATCTATTGGCTAGAGGTGTACATGGACCCAGCAAATGCAAACTAGAGTTGCCTTTTCTCCCAGCTTGCATCTTCCAGTGGTCTTTGGCAACTCCTCAGCAGCTCATGGAGGACAGGGCAGGGCCAGGCCGAGCTCCTCCTGCCTGCTGGAGCCGCTGCCAGGCATGCGTGCAGATGGGGGGGCTCCTGGGCAGAAGTGTCCCCTCTACCCAGTTCCAGGACCCCCAGGCATTTTCACTCTCATGGCAGCAGCTTCACTGGGACACTGTTTGCACATCTCCCAGAAACTGCAGCTCCTCTGGTCACCACCATCACCCCGGCACAACGCCACTGCGGCCACATGGCCATGTAGCCAACTCCACAGCAAAGAGTCCATATACCCAACGTTTCCCCCTGCATAGCCCCCTGTGTCCACGTGATCTCCAACCCAAGTGCAAATGGTTTGTACATCTCCCCTCAGCGAGCGAAGTGCCCAGCATTGCCCTGCCCTCGAAGATTTCTTTTAGAGTGAGAGTATCACTGAAAACATCATAAAGGAAGAGACCCTGATTAAAAAAAATGGTCAGCTGACCATAGAGGGCAAGGATACTGAGACAGAGGGCAATCATCTATCCAGACACGAGGGAATGAAGCACTGTGATGCCTCAGGTTATGAGCAGTCAGCGTATGTCTGTGAGAGAAGGCTGGTGAAGATCTGACAGCTCTGCTGACATAGTGCAGACAGAACTGCGCTGCTAAACTAAAGGCCGCGCTTCTCTGGTCAAATCGCCAGTGGCTCCGTAGGAGAACGATGAGCAATCTCCTCCCACAGGGTGAACAGTTAGCTGTTAGCTTGTTCCTACTCAACAGCACTTCATTTTTTGTTGGTTTGTTAGTTTTGTGGAAATAGTTGCCATTGCACCATCTCTTGATAGAGAAACTCATATGCTGTAGTTATGAATTCAGAAAAAAAAATTAGTCATAAATCCAAAAAAAAGAAACAGTCTTGGAACTTTGAGGCAATTCGTGACTCAATTCTCTACCAATTATTCCACACTGGGTTTTTGAAAGCTTTGAAAGAGCTCTAATAATATACCTTTCTGTCTACCAGTTAAAGACATCATTGCTTCTCGGTACTCTGGAAAGATCCCTCATAGCAGAGTTCCCCAGTGTAATTCATCTTTTGATTTCCTGAATGTTGGTGCCAAGATTGTTGATTATGGAGCCAGCAAGCTTTAATTGTTAACAATGTCAATCTCTTCTCCATCTATCATTGTGCTCCTGACATAGACCATCATGGTCTTCATAATTACTTGCTCTGCTTCAGAGAGCTGGACAGTGACTAAGGGTGACAGAGGAAGAATCGATGTCTTTGAGTTGTGGTGCTGGAGAAGAGTCTTGAACATACCATGGACAGCCAGGAGAATAAATAAGTCTGTCTTGGAGAGGGTAAAACCAAGTTTCTCCTTGGAGGCTAGGATTTGAAGCTCCATTTCACATACATTGGGCACATGGCCAGGAGGGACCAGACCTTGGAGAAGGACATGATGCTTGCAATGGTGAATGGACAATGCAAGAGAGGAAGACCCACATGAGATGGACTGATATAGTAACCGGGGTAATAAGGGTAAGTGTGTTTGTGTCAGAGAGAGCGGCTCAGGACAGGGCAGGTTTCAGAGCTGTTGTATATAGGGTAGATGTCACTGGCAACTCAATGGCACATAACAACAACAACAACAGCTAGTCAAAGAGTGTAAATGGAATGCACTGAAACATACTCAGTGTATTGAAATGTTTGTCAGAAGTAGATAGTGTGGAGTTAGAAGAGGACTGTGACCAGTAAATAAACAAAGGCATGTTTAACTAATAAACACAGTCAGCACCTTAAACCACTCAGCCATTTTGACATAGGAAAACCTGAAGAATGACTGACTGACAAAGGCTTCGATAACAGGAATCCCTGCATGCCTGTAACAAAAGCCTCGTTAAGGAGGCTGAGTAAACATTAGGCGCAAGTCTCTTCTAAATCCACTGGTAACTGTTTATCCTCTTGAGAAAATGTACTCCCTACTGTAACGGCTACTATCTGTTTTATGGCATACTGCTAACCATTTGAAGATTTTTGCTTAAAAATTTCGGTTATGCTGAATAAAGTCACTTAAGATTCTTGAAGTCTTTCATCCATTGCTCCCCAACTATGTATCTTTTCTCAAGTATCTCTGATTCCTCACTCTTGGACCTGTTGTAGCTCTGGAATCTCCCAGGTGGTATTTCCAGTGCACATAGTTGCTGATTTTATAAAAATACAAACGTATTTGTAACGTATTGGTGAATGTATAATTATCACAAACCATTTTCTCTAGCAAGAGATAGTTCAAATTTGACTCTGACCATTTAAAAACCAACAAATTGCTCAGTAGCTGCCCCTCCTTTGAGTTTATGAGGCTGAGAATCACATGGGAGGAGATTGCTCCTCTTTCTCCCTTGTTGCTATTGGCGAGTTCAAACCCCCAGAGAAGCACGGGCTTTGGGTTAGCTGTGCGAGTCCCCAGGGACTGTGCCACCAGCACTGCCATAGAGGGAGGCTTTAGGATGACAAATGACAGCACAGACATGAGGAATGAATTCTGAAAAAGAGAAAGGCCAGGCAGAGGTCCCCGCACCTTGGGACTGTGAAGGACCCCTTCCTTAGCTTTCCCATGGGTTTTGTTTAGTTTAAACCAACAATGAAAAAATTCCTATCTCATGAGGCTCTATTATCCTTTTATGTATGTGTGTCAACATAACAATGGGTAAGATTAATTCTTAAACCAAGGGCAGGATGATTCCCAAGTTCAGACACTGTATCCTCTCTGGTGGGAGGCTGGGCAGAACCTTGCAGAGGACGCCCGCTCCAGCCTGAACTCTGATCTCAGCTGTGGCCCGGCTATCATGTCAAGCTATCCACAACAAACAGTCCTCTCGGTAGAAGCATTAAAGACTCGTGCTTTCTAGGCTTTTTAGAGGAACAAGGTCATGTTTTCATTGCCAGACGCTCTCTTTAGCAATGACTCGGAGGGAAATGCCAGAGAGGCAATTTCAGAGACACGAAGACCATTTGGGAGACTTGGAGCTTAGCAGGATGTCTGGGGAAATAGAAAGAGACATGCAGATGTGGTGCAGTGGGAGTGAGGGAGACAGAATTGAGTGCAATGTCATATGTGTGAGAGGAGAACAAAGACAGGTTTTCCTGACCAGGTGATTCATGTGTTTTTGGAGGGGGGCAGGGGTGTGCTGGGAGGATTATTAGCCTTCAAAGGGGGCTAAGCGGAAGGAAACATAAGTTTCAATAGAGGAGGGCTTTTTCTCAGTTTTGGCAAACTGAGAAGTGATTGTGAATTGCTTGAATAGAATTGTCCAGTTGACTTCTAGATAACTTATTTCCAGAGTGCATGAGAGAAGTTACAATGTTAACATTAGGCTAAGATGTTGGTGAATGCTGTAGACATGCATGACTCAAGCAGTGGGGTTAAAAAAAAGTGCACACTGAATTTTTTAACCCTAGAGATTCACTAAACATGTTTAAGTAGATGGAATGTGCTTTATGCTGGGCATGGTGTATGAGAGTGAATGAATTTTTATAGGAGTCAAACTACAGTGAAGGGGTGAGAACCAAATATTTAGATAATGGTCCGATGAGGACATAATAAATGGCATTCGTGTTACCGCTTATGAGCCACATGGGTGGATTATCCCTAATATCAGGATAAAAGTAGGAATATTTACATTGCGTTTTATCTTTAATCATCGTTTTTACTTTCCGCTCTCCAAATGAACATACTCAGATAACAGCTCTTGTGATCCTCAAGGATCAAACTGTCACAGGGAATGAAACTTGGGCCTCAAAAAATGTTCTATTACTCACACCACACGACTACTCTATAACTAAACCAACACCAAGTGAAGCCGGAAACTGCAGGAAAATGACAAGGCAACCACAAGATTACACTGCAAGGAATTTATTAAAGCAAGACGTTGAAACCTCTACATTTTCCAGTGAAGATCAGCTAAGCACAGAAGGCGAGACGCAGCTTTGGATAACATGCTTTCTCCATCTAGAGAACACATTTTGCAACAACTTTTGCCTAAAAAAAGACAAAAACAAACACTCAAAAAGAAAACAAGGTGAAGTCAATCAAAGAGTCTTTAAGTGAAGGAACCCCCACCCCCGTCCCCAGTGATGACCCCCCCCTTCAGGAAGTTGCTCCTGTGCTGGTGGGCAGCTGTGGCGTCGGCCCTTCACTGTCACTGCATGGGACCCTGCTCGACTCCTTCTCAGGACACTGAGGGGAATATGACTCCCAGGGAGATGACCTGAGAGGAAAGGACACAGCCAGAGGCTCTGTGGAGTTTTAGTTTAGATCAGCTGCTGTTTCTGGAGCTTCTATTCTATGCCCATGGACCATGTGCTAATATGTGAGCAGCAAAGCAGGTGCCTTCACACACCAGAGTAGCAAGCTGACCTCCTTGTTGTCTGAGAAGCTAATCAAAATCATAACAAAAGAAATTACCACCACTTTTGAAATGAGTGCTTTTTCCCAAATAGACAGCTCATTGGCGCACTGTTTCACTTGTAGCTTAGCTTTGATATCTTCAGGGGGTACTTTATAAAATTGAAGGTACAATTTGTAGGTAAAATCTGGTTCCGTTAAGAACTTGGTTGCTTCTAGAACAGCCAGTGGACAAGCTATTGCATTAGCTGGAGTCGGGGTTAAACCGGGTAAAGGGAAGGGAAAGAAATAAAATTCATGTTAGGAAAGCAAATTTTCTTAGCAACAGTTTTAAAAAAAATCTTACAACTGTACAATAGCTAAAGATTTCATAATCCAATCCCATGAGTGTATTGTTGAAAAAGAAGACTTGACAGTTTCTGATTTGTTCATGATCACACAGCAAGTTGCTAGAACAGGAAAACCATTTTCTGGACCTAGTTAGAGGTTTTTAAAACACATGCTCACGGCTTTCTGAGACGGCTCAAGTTTGCTACAATTTTTATAGCCTACATCTGAAAAAAAAATAATGTATCCCTATGAATAAAATGCTTCCCTTTTTTGCCTAAGACACTGGGTAAAGAGGGAGTTTGGGTTAACTGAATTTTAGTGAATGGTAGACTCAAAGATCTTACTAGAAGCCAGAGAAAGAAAAGTAATACCTGGGGAATTGAATCTTAAGTAAAATTAAATGTTGAAAGGTAATGTTTTGAGAGAAAAATCAGGGATTTAGTAATATGTTATTGAGTAAAGACAGAGAAAAACATAATTATCTGTGAAATTAGCACATCATATTAAGTCTTTAATTCTGTAGGGACTGTTAAAGAACCCAGAGGAGAAAGAAGAGCTCATTATTGCCACCACTGGCAAGTGTGTGGAGACCTGAAAGAACCACTTTTCCATTTCTGGATTCCCCATTCCCCCAAGTCTGGCCCAACCACTCACTGTCCAATAAAGACCCCACCAGCCTTCCATCCACCCCTGTGGAGATTGTTGTAGTTATTGTATGTGCCATCAAGTTGTGTGCGACTCATAGTGACCCTATGTGTAACAGCCCTAAACCCTGCTCTATCCTGTGCCAATCTTATTGTGTCTGACACAACTACCCTCATTACCCCAGTCACTGAATCAATTCATTTCATTGAGGGCCTTCCTCTCTTGCACTGTCCCTCCACCCTTGCAAGTATGATGTCCCTCTCCAAGGGCTGGTCCTTCCTTGCAACATGCCCGATGTCAGAAGAAGCTTCAGAATCCTTGCCTCCAAGGAGCAGCCGGGGTTCCCCCTCTCTAAGATGAAACTGTTTGTTCTCCAACAGTCCATGGTATATTCAATACTCTTCTCCAGCACCAAAGTTCAAATAACAGGAAGCTGTACAATGACTAGGGATGATAGAAGGAGAATTGATGCCTTGAGCTGTGGTTCTCTGTAGATGACCTACCTCAAATCATCTAAAGAACTTGGATTATAAGGTCATGGGTAAAAAGAGAAGTGAATGTGGTTCAGCAAGTTGGATTTCAGTGAAAACATTTAAGGACACTTGGATCCATTTCCAGAGCATGGAAGATAGGCCAAAGTATTTCACTTGCTGCAACTGATGAAGACATGAAGCTCTTGTTGCAGATGGTCAAAGACTATAATCTTCAATATCGATTGAAGCTCAACATCAAGAAGACAAAGATTCTCACCATTGGGCCAGCTGGCAGCACCATGATGTATGAAGAAGAGACTGAGGTTGTTAACAATAGCAGCTTGCTCGGCTCCACAATCAACACTCATGGCACCAGCAGTCAGAAAATCACAAGACAGATTTTTTTGAGTGTGTACCATCAGATCAGATCTTACTGGTACAGGAGGAGAATGTCCCTCCTTCTCCAGCATTCAAACCAAATTCAAACCGAATTCCCCTAGTCTTTAAGTCAATCCATCTCATTGAGGGTCTTCCTCTCTTGCATTGTCCCTCCACCCTCCCAAGCATGTCCCTCTCCATGCCCAAAGTATGTCAGATGAAGTTTTAGAACCCTTGCCTCCAAGGAAAAGCCTGGTTTCACCCTCTCCAGGACAAACCTGTTTGTTCTCCCAGCATTCCATGGTATATTTAATGATCTTCTCCAGCACCAGAGTTCAAAAGCATTAATTCTCTTTCTATCATCCCTAGTCGTTGTCCAGTTTTCTAATAAATAGCATGTAACTGTGAAGGCCATGGCCTGGATCAGGCACACCTTAGTCTCCAGACTGATATCATTGCTCTTCAGTACTCTGCAGCCATCCCTGACAGGCTGTCCTAATGCAATTTGTCTTTTGATTTCCTGGCAGCTGGTACTAAGAGTATTGATCGCAAGCTTTCTGTAGATGGATGGATTTACTTCTGGATTCCTAATTCCATTCTTTGACAAAGAGATAAAACTCATTAAAGGGGGAAAAGAGTCTCTAACAAATAGTGCTGGAAAAACTGGACATCTAGCTGCAGAATATTGAAAGGAGATAAATATCTAACATCACATACAAAACTAACTCAAGATATGTCAAGGGTCCAGGATTACTTGGGAATAATACTCACCTTCAGAGCAGAAAACGGCCAAGGTGATCAACAGGAAAGAGATGGACAGCTTCATGGTGGCTTCTTTTGCCTTTACCTTTTGCAAAGGATGATCTCAGGAGCCTGAAGAGTGGGGCTATTTATACGCAGTGAGCCTCCCTGGCTCTGAGCACACACACAGGTGACAGGTCACATGGTTTGGCTTCCAGCACTGCCATTCTCACTGAGGATGTCTGCCAGACACCTGTGTCACACAGCCCCACTTCTCTGTCTTCCTTCTTAGAGCAGGTTCAGTGAGAACAGCGCCATGGGAACTTGGCTTCGCACTTTCAGATGAGTGTTCAGGGACCTGCAGGAATGTTATTTGGTCCCTCAGTTTGTTCTCTGAGCCCTGTGACTATTATTTCTTTGTACATTGTGACAGTACTGAAGAACAGGTGGTTTCTGTCGGATTTGCAGATCCTAGGCTCTTGGGGAAACTGGCAAGCTACCCTCTGATAAGGGGAGAGCAAACATATAAAACTCTTTTCTCTTTAGCATGTTTGAGAGGTCCTTTGCAGTATAGGTTTGTTGTTTTTTGGTTTTTTTTTAAGAGATTCAGTTCTTCATCATATCATAGGATGATATAACTCTCCCTCCCTGTACCCACAGAGCTTCTAAAGTGTTAAGTGGCCAGGCTCTCATCAGTGGTAAGGAGGACTCTCTCACCCTATTGGGATCTAGGCAGGTTAGATGACGATAATAAAGAGAACAAGAACTGTAATGAGTGAGCATCTTCCCCTATCACACTGAAGTAAAGACTGTAGCTTAAGATCTACCTTTGTTGCCTTGAGAAAATATAATTTTTGTTGGGAGATGAAGTCGTCCCATCCAAAGCAATGAACTCACCGCCTGTCGATCTCTTGTTGAACCACCACACTCCATGTGACTCAAGAAGAATTTTTTTTATCATCAGAAATGGGCAGTTGGAGGGACAATACACGGTGAAGTGTTGGTTAGACATCCTCATTCATTCCTTAATTACATTCCTCAATGGCAATTGATCTTATGAAATAAAACACTATGAATGATTGTCTAAAAAGTCAATATGATTTCTAACCCTTCACTCAAGTAGAACAATAATAATAAATAAATCAACTACTCATTTAAAAACAAATCCTTATAAAAGGAGTCACAGTCTTGGCCAAAGGTCCCTATTCTCAGTTGTACAAAGGAAAAAGGTGGAAAATTTTTTAAAAGCCAAAGTTGCTCTGTAGAGTCAAATTGAGGAGGCCTGATGAGCAGCAAAGCCCGAGAATGACTGCTATGAACTAGGGATTTTTATTAATCGATTTACCAGTGAACAAACTGGCAGAATGTTGGTTAAGTCCATTGGAGAGCAACAGTGGGGCTCAGTTAAATCGCTTGGGATGATGGAGGAGACCTCAGACTCACTCAGCTCCTCTGCCTCACCCCAAAAAGCCAGATGCTATGCTCATGAAGATTGCAGACTCTCTGACTCTAAACCAAAGCTTACTGCATGTTAGAGTTTAGGAATATTACTTCCTTTATGTGGATTATGTTTTCACATCCAAAAGGGAGGGGAGGAAGCAGATGGGAAGGATCTGGGGAAAAAGATAGGGTGATGGGCAAGGCCCATCATAAAATTAATTTTATAAAACATAATGCGTGAGAATGATTATATGAAACATAACGTGAATGAAGAATAGTGTGAATTATTACTAGAATCGTATGAAACACAATGTATATAAACTTCGTAAGCAAATGAATTTTTTAAAAAGAATGTAAAACTGAATGTACATGAATAATTGTATGGAACACAATTTAAATGAAAGATTGTATAAAACACAATGTATATGAATGAAATACAATGTAAAGAAATTGTTATTATATAAACACAAACAAAAAAGAATTGTTGTTGTTGTTGTTGTTGTTGTTGTTATGTGCCGTCGAGTCGTTTTCGACTCATAGCGACCCTATGCACAACAGCCCTAAACCGTGCTCTATCCTGCGCCAACCGCACTGACACACCCATCCCGATTACCCCAGTCACTGAATCAATCCATCTCATAGAGGGTCTTCCTCTCCTGCGCTGTCCCTCCACCCTCCCAAGCATGATGTCCCTCTCCAAGGACCCGTCCCTCCTGGCAACATGTCCAAAGTATGTCAGACGAAGCCCCAGAATCCTTGCCTCCAAGGAGCAGCTTGGTTTAATCCTCTCCAAGATGAATCTGTTTGTTTTCCTGGCAGTCCATGGTACATTCAGTATTCTTCTCCAGCACCACAGCTCAAAAGCATCCACTCTCCTTCTGTCCTCCCTAGTCATTGTCCAACTCTCTGATGCATAAGAAGCGATTGCAAATACCATGGCCTGTATCAGGCGCACCTTAGTCTCCAGAGAGACACCGTTTCTCCTGAGTACTTTAGAGAGGTCCCTAACAGCAGACTTTCCCATCATGATACGCTTTTTGATTTCCTGACTGCTGGTGCCAAGGGTGTTGACTGTGGAGCAGAGCAAACTGAAGCTGTGAACAATCTCAATCTCTTCGCCATCCATCCTGACGACGCTGCCAATTGGTCCATTGGTGAGAATCTTTGTCTTCTTGACATTGAGCCTCAGTCCATACTGAAGGCTGCAGTCCTTGACCCTTCGCAGCAAGTGCATGAGGTCCTCCTCAGTGTCAGCAAGCAGGGTTGTGTCATCTGCATAACGCAGATTGTTAATAGACCTTCCACCAATCCTGATGCCACAATTCTCCTCATAGAGCCCAGCCTCTTGGATAATCTGCTCTGCATTCATGTTGAAAAGGTATGGAGACAGGATGCATCCCTGGCGTACACCCTTCCCAATTTTGAACCATGCAGTGTTACCCTGCTCTGTTCTGACTACTGCCTCTTGGTCCAAGTATAGGTTTCGCATTAGCACAATTAAATGTTCTGGGATTCCCATTCTTCTCAGAGTCAGCCACAGTTTGTTATGATCCACACAGTCAAATGCCTTTGCATAATCAATGAAACACAGATAGACATTCTTCTGGTATTCTCTGCTTTCAGCCAAGATTCATCTAACATCAGCAATAGTATCCCTAGTACCACGACCCCTTCTAAACCCAGCCTGGACTTCCGGCAGTTCTCTGCTGATGTGCTGTTCTAATTGTTTTTGGATAATCTTCAGTAGAATCTTGCTTGCATGTGAATTAAATAAAAATTAATTCTACTACTTACATCCTAAGCTTCATGTGATAGTTTAATGAGATGCTACATTATTTAACTAAATTCATGACACATATTAAATCTAATAATAAAGAAATGTTAATGAATACATAACACCTTCTGAAAACCCACTGGAGGGTAAGCAATGGGTCAGTTCTGACTTGATGGCACACAACAACACAACATAACAACAATATAACATTTCTGTCTGGACCTTCTTGACTTATTTGTCATTCATATCCTGGGTTGCCATCAGTTGCTAGTTAGAGCACAGATTCAAACCAAGAAATTCTCTCTTTCCAAAACTGTAAGAAAATCTATACACACTCCTTCCCGGAAATAAATGAATGAGAAAACATAGCCCCTGTTCTCTGAGTCTGTAAACATAGGAATAGGTTTTCTTGTGGCCAGTGCTGTTTTGCAGCATTCAGAGCTCTGAAGCACTCTCCAGATGGGACCAAAGGCTTTCTGCTGGCCCAGACTTGGCCTTCATCAGCAAATTCCATTGGGTACACTAGGTCTCTGTGACAGCATTACTTCCACGTTGTTTCTACTTCTCTCTTAGCTTCCCACATGTGCTAAGGGATATGGGAAGCCAAACTTTAAACTTTATATTAAATGAAAATCCTTGTTCAGGAATTGAAGGAATTGCAGATTTGTAAGTTAGGATTTCTCTTGTGGCAGATCCCAAAAAATAACCTGTTTGTTTCCTGCAGACAGGAGACAGCTAGGGCCCTCCTACAGAGCATTACTTCCTGGGAAATACTTCTTAAGCTAGAGAAGTAGGCTGACAATGAGAAAAATAGAGCCTTCAACAACAACAACAACAACAAGAGCTTTAGGCTGACAATAGAGAAAAATAGAGCCTTCATTTTCAAGGAATTCCTTTTGTTATTTGCTTCCCCAGATTATCAATAAATACACAGAGAAACATGACTTGGGGTCTTCAGTCTAGAACTGCTGGCTCCCTGTATTATACTCTCTGCTCTATCTCATTCCTTGCTGTTTGTCTCATTATTAATAATTATAAAATTATTCCATTCTTTGGGACCCTCGGTCTGCAACAAAGGGACTTTTCATTTGCATCACTGGTGCTTTTGATGACGTGGAAAAGAAAAATTTGTTAACTACATTTAACAAGGTGTACAGAGCAATTCTGTTGCAAACAGCTTGCATTCAAGCCAAAACTGATGAGACCTCACTCAAACTCACTTAAAGACGGTAAGACGTTTCCAAAGTCACAGTTTTTAAAGGCAATGAGAGGTTTCCAGTTAAAGTAGTTATTGTAATTGAATTTTAAGTATGTTCTTCATTAAAGGGAGAGTTTTACACAAGAGGGACATTTCTGTCATTGGGTTTTGTACGTACACTTGTATATTGGGAATTAAAGGAGTCAGAGACATGTTCAACTGTCAAGTAGCTTTTCCTGAAAGTTCCTGAAGTTAGGAAAATTTGAAAAGTTCCTTATTGTGTCAAAATTTGTAGCCGATGCAAAGATCAACATTGACTGATAAAAGTTTTCATAAAAGCTTTGCACTTGACATTAATAACCATTTGTTTTTATTTAGTATTTAACTGTCCTTTCTTTTGGTCATTTTTCCAATCCTTAATTGGAGGTCTGACCACCTAGGAGCCTCAGTCACCACCTCAGCTAACTATTATGGTTAGTTCTCATTAGACTAGTTCTACTCTAAGTTGGATGCAACCTCTGGTGGCCTCATGGACAGGAGTTGCACTGCCAACCCAAAGGCAAACAGTTCAAACTTACCAACTGCTTCTTAAGAAAAAGGTGGGCATTCTACTCTCTTATTATTTACTGCCTCTGAAAATCTGCTGGAGGGTCAGCTAGGAGTGAATTCCAAC